AACTGCCCCCTCCGGTAGCGTCTTCCACTGCCTGACATCATCCACGAACGGTGAGTGCTCCCCGGCGACCAGGGCTGTTGCTGCCCGTCGCTTTTATTCTCCTCCGCGGACTTATGAAATCAAGGAGGGTTTGCCTCCTTGTGCAGGTTATTTGTGATTCCCTCTTGCTTTTCCTTGCACCCCCCTGAAGTTGTTCCCTCACACCCCTTCCCCTTGCCTCCTCTGCTCTGTCCCCAGATGGAGGGGCAGGGATCCACCGTGTTCCTGGTGTCCTGGTGGGGTGACACAGGGCTGGCTCAGCAGCGGGGGGATTGCTCCCCCCCCCGCGCTTATCAGTCCCTGAAGTTGTGATGGGGCTTAGCATGGGTACTAGACCCAATACTCATTGCTCTGCCCTGCTGCCCTCGAGCTGTGGGGCAGCTCCTGGCAGCATCGCGGTGGGGTGTTCAGCACATTCCGCCGCAGTGGAGGTGACCGGCTTGAGTGCTTTTTGGTCATCTGCTGTTATTAGCCCATTTTGATTACACTTGGATGTATAAACGCGAGGTAGTCCTTGGAGCAGGACTCACTGGGCGCCCATCGCCCTGCTGGGGCCATTTTTGGCATGCCTCCCTCTTGCTCTGGTTGTGAGGGCGTGTTAAAGATGCACGTGGTGCCCCGAGGACAGCCTGTCCCCTGCCTAGAAAGCTGCCCTGTTTTTTGCTGCTGTGACAGGCTGAGTTTTTGGGCACGCTCCTCGCCCTATGGTTCGCTACCGAGCACCGCGCATGGGATGTGCTGAGCCCTCAGGCTCCGCCTCATCCCACTGCTGAAATGGCTCCTGTGGCATCTGCACATCTGGGGTGGCTGAAGAGCCACCTCTGGACTAAGCTGGGTGAAGGCTGATGTCATGCTGGGTGACATCACCCGGTGAGGTGTTTGCTGAGGTCAGCAGGGGAGGAGTGCTTGCTAAGATGCCGTGACGCAGTGTTTCCAGGGCATCTAGAACCAATAACATGAAATCTGTGCTCAGGGAGTCAGGCAACCCCGTGCCTCAGTTTCCCCAGAAAACAGGGCTAATGCCGGTGGTGCTGTGCCCAGCATTTGTTTTCAGTTAGCCTGGTTTTTGCTTTCCTGTGGAAACAGATTCTCCCAGTGAAACCAGTTGTGAATCATAGCAATGTCGCTGGGAGCACAGTCACACTACGCTGGAAACATGGTCCTGGCGTAGGAGCAAACCAATGCCACGTGGTCTTGGCAAAGAGGGAACGGTCGCAGTGGAGAGAGCACTGAAAGCTTTCAAAGGGTCTTGTGGTGATGGGACACCGTCAGAGGTTTTTGGAGATTCGGGTCACCCTAATCCCCAGCCTGCTGGGAGCAAAACACTCGTGGGTACCCCACGTGGGGAGGTGGATGCTGATGCTCACTCTCCCTCTCATCTTCCTTGCGCGGAAAGCAGCGGCGTGTTTCTTCAGCAGCGTTTCCCTGCTTGGCCCCAGGGTCCGGTTTCGGTGGGAGCGAAGCCACGGCTGCCGGTCTCTGCTGACGCCTGGTGGTGTCCGGGCCGGCCGGGAAGCGGCTGGACCCTGTCCCCGTCGAGGAGCCTTCTGGAGCCATGTCCTTCATCAGCAGTTGGCTGGTGCTGGCTATCTGCAGCGTAGGCAAGCCGCTTCATGGCCATTCATGCGTGCTCCAAAACTGCTGACTTTGCGCTTTGAAATAAAAGGCAGCGATTGCCCACCCCCTCCCCGGAGTCCCAGAGCCGAGGGCTGTAAAGCCTCCCCAAATCTGTTGCTTTTCCTACCTGCACTGCTTTTTCGGGGTGTTTGCAGGATGCTGCGTGTCGGGGAGTTGTCAGTGTTGAGAGGGGCTTGTCCAAAATGCGGTTGGGATGGTCTCCTCCACGTCTGACTGACCTGCTGGGTGTTGCGAGTCTATATTGCTGTGTTCCCAGAAGCTGCTCCAAGAGGGGCTTCCCTCTGGATCCTTTCAGTGATGAATTTTTATCATTAAAGAGGCTATATTCAAGATGGCCCTGCTACAAATGTGGTCAGGCAGCTGAGCTTGGCTGATAAGGTGCCCCGGTGGGTTGCTGTTTGAGTAGAGGTGCGTTGTGCTCAAGTCTTAAAGAGCTCTCTGACAGCTCTTATTTATATGAAGGCTCTGCTCTGGCATCAGGAAAAGGGGGTTTTGCTTGGGCAAAAGCTTCTGCTCCCTCCATCTCCACGGTCTTCATGTGGTGGGACCCTGGCTGCAGGATCCAGAGCTCACCGGTGCTGTAGGAACCCAAAATCAAAAGATATTTTCTAGGCTTATGCAAGGCTTTTAAAATCTGTTTGTAAAAACAGAATAAAAATACCACTCAGCATCCTTTCTGGTGGATCCCTGCACCCTCCCTCCCCGCTGCCCGTCTCCGAGCCCCTTGGTCCCACCGCCCCTGTGCTGCCAGGGGAGCTGCGCTCCGCCACGTATTGGATAGTGGGGACACGGGACAAGGGTGCTGTGGCAGGGCCACCTCTGAGGCTCATCCCCTGCCTGGTTCTTGTTATGCTCCTCATATTCTTTTTGCTAAGAATATGCTTACTTTCAAAAATATGAAAGATCCTATACCAAATACCGCAAACTGTTCTCATTTAAATCTCTTTCAAAACATAGGCTGTGCATGCTACGCTGGGTTGTAGAAAGTCTTAAGAATTTGTTTCTCTGTGCCTGTTGCCAAGGACGGTGCTTAACGGTTAATCGCAGAGTGCCAAGGTCTGCTCTGGGCTAAGAGGAAGAAATCCTCGTTCGGGAATTTTGGCAGAACTTGGTCTTTACGTAGAGGCAGTTTTTCCTCTGGCCGTCGCAGTGGCCGCTGTAGTGCAGTTATTTCTTCTTCTCTTTTTGAAAAGGAGTGGTGCTCAGTACTCGGAATATGTGGAATTCGGTAGGGCTGGGTCTCGGGTTTTCAGCACGGATGGGGGCTTTGGGGGGGTTTGCCGTGGCACTGGGGTGGTGGGTTTGTTGTGCTGTGATGCTCCCCTTGGTCTCAGCAGGGTGAGGATGGATGAAGCCTCCTCTCGCCCACTGTCCTGCCGCACAGGGACCCTTTTGTTTAGATGACCGTTATTTGGATGCCCAACGAGAAGCTAAACTTGCTAAAACTAGATGCCAGCAAGATTTGCTTGCGTTTAACCCTGGGGCAGGTTTGGGACCGTGCTCCTAATCTTATAGATTATCCTGTGGGTATTGAATAAGCAGCAAAAGAACCCAAGGGTTGACCGCAGGAGGACTGTAGGACCGTGGCTCCGCGGGACATTAGCAAACCTTGGGCGCAGGATGGAATTGGCCTCGGTGGGGGCTGAGCTCCCACCTCCCACATTCCTCTCGGCAGGGCTCGAACCCCCTGCGTATGTGAGGGCTGAGCGGTCCTGATGGATGCGAGAACAGGGAGGGAGGAGGAAACGCCGGGTCGGGGGCAGATGCCCACTTCTTCGCCTTTTACAACTGCCTGCTTGTTGCTTTGATTTCTGCGTTTGCTTGTTAGATAATGATTTTTTTTTTTTCCCGAGAGGCCGAGAACTATGGAAAAAATCTTGCAATCTTTGCTTCGTTTGCTCTGTCAGACATTCCTGGAAAAGACTTATCTCAAGAATTCAGCTCTGAATCCCAGAATTGTGCGTCGGCACAGCTGCGCGCCAGCCCCCAGCTGTGTGATCCCACTGCAGACACGGGGCACATGGCTGGACCCGAGCCGCTCAAGTGCTCTTAAGTAGATTCCACCCTAAATTTCCAGACAGCGATCTTTTTTTCCTCCAAAAATGGCCTTTTCTTTCCACAACGGAATTTTTTATGCAGGCAAGAAGATTTTTTTCTGCTCCTTTCTACTGCTTTTGCTCTGATTTTGGTGGGAATGCTGAATGTGGGGAAGCAATGGGAACCTCCGTGGAGATCCCTACATCCTTCTCTAACGTCAGGAGACAATTTTCCTGTTTTCTTCTTACAGTTTCTCCTGTTGCTGCTCTGTGGCTTTCTCACGACCGGCTTGTTCACAGGCAGGCTGGTGTTTTCTGGCTTTTTTAAAGGGAAAAGAAAACCCCAAACCTTGGGAAATGCACAGGCTGCCAATCCGCATGATTACTAAGTGCCGTTGGCCGTATGATGCACCTGCTAATTTGCTGATGTGATGGCCACAAGCAAAGCCCAGGTGGGTCCTCCAGGAGCAGAGATCTGCCCTGGACCTCCCGGGCGGGCAGGGATGCACCTCCCCTCGATGGGGCAGGCACAGCTATGCACCAGGGTATTGCCCTGCTCTTCTGCACACTGACCTTCCCTCTTCCAGAGCCCCTTTGCTCTGGCAGACGGGACCCTAAGCAGCATTGCTGGTGCTTGAAATGCATTTTCTTTGCGCTGGAAGAGGCAGGAAAGATCTTTGTCCTTGGCACGAGGCAGGGGCATCTGTGCCCTGACCCATCAGCTGTTCCTAGGAGGAATTGTGCTGCTGCTTCTCCACTTTAAAATGCATAACAGAAACATCTGAACATGTTGCTTTTGCTCTGTCTGCCCCTCCAGAGTGGCTTTGCTGCCCTTATTCTTTCAAACTCTTTCTTCCAGCAATGCTGGACTCACATAAGATAGAAAAGGTATGGAGAGATGGAGGATGTAATCCTTAACTTGATGTAATCCTTTTTGTGGCTGAAAATGATGTTGCAAGGGTTCATTGAAGCCCTGCACCGAGGTAAATTATTTCTCAATGTCTAATTCCATTATTGAGAGTGAGTATAAAATATCTCAACAAAAAGAGATGGGGGCAAATTCCCCTCCAGCCCACTGGAAGAGCCAAGACTGCACCAAGTGGATCAAGACTTGGAGAATTGGTCACTGGTGAGGGGACACTTCCTAGAGCAGGAGGGTGAGATGGAGACGATAGTCCAGTCACCCCTGCAAATTAGAAGTTCAAAGATTTAAAGATTCAAAGATTTTAAAAATGGTTTCAGCTATTTATTGAATGCTGAAGTAACCTTCCACCCTTACGCTGAGTCTGCGGGCACAGCGCTGTTGTAGCCTTTTGCTTTATTTCTGCTGGGCAGCT